ATAATACCGCATCATACCAGGTCTTTAAGCAGAGGCTTGCGGAAGCATTTTCTTCTGACAACCTATCACGTATTGGGCGTCGGTCAGGATCAGCTCGCAATATTGAGACGGTGTATCATTTACTGGCTTTTCTCTTTCTCCTCTAATTTTACGAAAAACCAATGAAAAATAGATAGTTGCTGCCCATTAATCGATTCGAATGGTTGCTGCCCACTAGAGATTATCCACAGAATTACACCAAAGCTGTAAACGTCAGAGCTCTTATTGCGTTTATAGGAAGTTACTTTTAAATGTTGAGGGTCTATGAATGGTAAACTTTCCGTAACTCCAGAACCAAGTGAGACGACTGAGGAGCCAGATGATTGACGCTAAGCGAAGACCTGCAATTAACATCCTGCTAAGCGAAGACCTGCAAGTAACATCTTTCCCTCATGAACCATTATATTTGTATCATTCTGTAAAAAAAAAAACAAAAAAAAAACAATAAATTATTCTTGTGCGTTAGTTTTTTTGCCGTAGAAGTTTTATCGAAAATGTACTTACAAGATCTCTATGAATTATGTGATTTTCATGCAAAAATACAAGGCCCTGTGCTATTTATTGGCAATGCGTAATTTATCACTCCATAAAAATATTTGTTTCTGAGATAGTAGCGTAGATTACCATATTGTAAAATCGTGAGATAATGTTATCCTGCTTGCCCGAACTCGATTCGGCCCCTGTTTGGGCCTAAACCCGATGGAACTCGAGTTTTTGCGGTCACATGATTTTCATTATTAAATTTAAACTCCTCATGAGTTTGAAATCGATCAGATGAGAAAATGCTTGATTTGTAACTTTAGACTTTGAATTGCTATCGTTATAACGAACAAAAATCCGTTGTCTGACTTTTATAAATTAAAGTTGATTTATTGTGGCATGATAATGACAATTAGTCTTAATTAACTTTAAAATTTAATTACTATCGTTATGACGAATAAAATCAGTTTTCTGGGGGTTTTTTTAAATTAAAAGTTAATTTATTGTGGCATGATATGATGACAATTAGTCTTTTTTTAATAAGGCCCAGCTATGAAACTATCTTCGTTCGAAAGTGAAACGGAAATACTTATGCATGAGCTACTTATAGTGTTTTATGCGCGATATAAGGAATTTGACTCATTTATTACTGAAGATACTCATGAAACTCCAAGGAATTACTTTAGAAAACATCATAATGAAATTTTGAAAACTACTTTCAATGTTCTTGAAGAGTACCTTATGTTCGCTGAGAAAAATTGTAATCCCTTGGACTTCTAGAAAACACAATCTACCGGGCTCTCAAGAATGGCAAGAGACTGCAAGCAACAAGCATGCTGAGTGAAGAAATGTTTTCGAAGGCAAAAAATACAATTAACCCAATACGTGATAGGTTGTCAGAAGAAAATGCTTCCGCAAGCCTCTGCTTAAAGACCTGGTATGATGCGGTATTAT